GAACACACCTACTTCATGACAGAAGAACAGAGAGAACACACTCTACGATGATGAGGAACAGAGAGAGAACACACTCTACGCATGATGAAGAACAGAGAGAAACTTCCACATACCATGATGATGAAGAATAGAGAGACACCTACGTATGATGAAGAACAGAGAGAACACACTCTACGATGATGAAGAACAGAGAGAACACACTCTACGATGATGAAGAACAGAGAGAACACACTCTACGATGATGAAGAACAGAGAGAACACACTCTACGATGATGAAGAACAGAGAGAACACACTCTACGATGATGAAGAACAGAGAGAACACACTCTACGATGATGAAGAACAGAGAGAACACACTCTACGATGATGAAGAACAGAGAGAACACACTCTACGATGATGAAGAACAGAGAGAACACACTCTACGATGATGAAGAACAGAGAGAACACACTCTACGATGATGAAGAACAGAGAGAACACACTCTACGATGATGAAGAACAGAGAGAAATACTACCTACGGCGATGAAGAACAGAGAACACACACCTACGATGATGAAGAACAGAGAGAACACACTCTACGACGATGAAGAACAGAGAGAACACACTCTACGATGATGAAGAACAGAGAGAACACACTCTACGATGATGAAGAACAGAGAGAACACACTCTACGATGATGAAGAACAGAGAGAACACACTCTACGATGATGAAGAACAGAGAGAACACACTCTACGATGATGACGATAATGAAGAACAGAGAGAACACACTCTACGATGATGAAGAACAGAGAGAACACACTCTACGATGATGACGATAATGAAGAACAGAGAGAACACACTCTACGATGATGAAGAACAGAGAGAACACACTCTACGATGATGAAGAACAGAGAGAACACACTCTACGATGATGAACAGAGAGAACACACTCTACGATGAGATGAACAGAAGAAAACACTCTACGATGATGAAGAACAGAGAGAACACACTCTACGATGATGAAGAACAGAGAGAACACACCTACGATGATGAAGAACAGAGAGAACACTTACGATGATGAAGAACAGAGAGAACACCTACGATGATGAAGAACAGAGAGAAAACACTCTACGATGATGAAGAACAGAGAGAACACACTCTACGATGATGAAGAACAGAGAGAACACACTCTACGATGATGAAGAACAGAGAGAACACACTCTACGATGATGAAGAACAGAGAGAACACACTTACGATGATGAAGAACAGAGAACACACTCTACGATGATGACGATAGAAGAACAGAGAGAACACACTCTACGATGATGAAGAACAGAGAGAACACACTCTACGATGATGACGATAATGAAGAACAGAGAGAACATTAATTTACGATGATGAAGAACAGAGAGAAACACACTCTACGATGATGAAGAACAGAGAGAACACACTCTACGATGATGAAGAACAGAGAGAACACACTCTACAATGATGAAGAACAGAGAGAACACACTCTTACGATGATGAAGAACAGAGAGAACACACTCTACGATGATGAAGAACAGAGAGAACACACTCTACGATGATGAAGAACAGAGAGAACACACTCTACGATGATGAAGAAAAGAGAGAACACATCTACGATGATGAAGAACAGAGAGAACACACTCTACGATGATGAAGAACAGAGAGAACATTTCTACGATGATGACGATAATGAAGAACAGAGAGAACACACCTACGATGATGAAGAACAGAGAGAACACACTCTACGATGATGAAGAACAGAGAGAACACACTCTACGATGATGAACAGAGAGAACACACTCACGATGATGATGAAGAACAGAGAGAACACACTCTACGATGATGAAGAACAGAGAGAACACACTCTACGATGATGAAGAACAGAGAACACACTCTACGATGATGAAGAACAGAGAGAACACACTCTACGATGATGACGATAATGAAGAACAGAACACACTCTACAATCACGACGATGATGAAGAACAGAGAACACACTCTACGATGATGAAGAACAGAGAGAACACACTCTACGATGATGAAGAACAGAGAGAACACACTCTACGATAATGAAGAACAGAGAGAACACACTTACGATGATAAGATAATGAAGAACAGAGAGAACACACTCTACGATCACGACGATAATGAAGACAGAGAGAAATACACTTCTACAATCACGATGATAATGAAGAACAGAGAGAACACACTCTATGATCACGACGATGATGAAGAACAGAGAGAACACACTCTACGATCACGACGATAATGAAGAACAGAGAGAACACACTCCATCACGATGATAATGAAGAACAGAGAGAACACACTTCTACGATCAATAGATGAAGAACAGAGAGAACACACTCTACAATCAGGATGAAGGGAGAACACACTCAATCACGACGATGAAGAACAGAGAGAATACATCTACATCACGACGATAATGAAGAACAGAGAGAACACACCTACGACTCGAGATAGAAGAACAGAGAGAACACACTCTACTTATCACTACGATAATGAAGAAAGAGAATACTATCACGACGATAATGAAGAACAGAGAGAACACTCTCGATCACGACGATATGAAGAACAGAGAGAACACACTTCTAGCATCACGACGATAATGAAGAACAGAGAACACACTCTACGATCACGACGATAATGAAGAACAGAGAGAACACAATTCTACGATCACGACGATAATGAAGAACAGAGAGAACACACTCTACGATCATGACGATAATGAAGAACAGAGAGAACACACTCTACGATCACGACGATAATGAAGAACAGAGAGAACACACTTACTATCACGACGATAATGAAGAACAGAGAGAACACACTTACGATCACTGCATTTGATGATGAAGAACAGAGAGAACACACTACTTATCACGACGATAATGAAGAACAGAGAGAACACACTCTACGATCACGACGATAATGAAGAACAGAGAGAACACTATCTACGATCACGACGATGATGAAGAACAGAGAGAACACACTCTACAATCACGACGATAATGAAGAACAGAGAGAACAACCTATCATTTATCACGATTTATAATGAAGAACAGAACACACTTACGATCATTACGATAATGAAGAACAGAGAGAACACACTTCCATTTATCACGATTTATAATGAAGAACAGAGAGAAATACTCTACGATCAGTTATTTATAGAAGAACAGAGAGAACACACTTACGATCACGAACGATAATGAAGAACAGAGAGAACACACTCTACCATCATTACGATAATGAAGAACAGAGAGAACACACTCTACGATCACGACGATCATGAAGAACAGAGAGAACACACTCTACGCATCACGACGATAATGAAGAACAGAGAGAACACACTTACCATCACGACGATAATGAAGAAGAAGAGAACACACTCTACGATCACGAATTTATAATGAAGAACAGAGAGAACACACTCTACGATCACGATTTATAATGAAGAACAGAGAGAACACATTCTACGATCAACGATAATGAAGAACAGAGAGAACACACTCTACCATCAGCATTTATAATGAAGAACAGAGAGAAGATTCTTGAAGCGGTAAAAGGATCGGCTTCACTGAAGGCAACAAGATTGACCAAGTTTCGAGAGGGGCCGATATCGAATATGGAAAAGATGCTGATGACCTGGATTGAAGACCAGACTCAAAAGCGAGTCCCATTCAGCATGCTAACCATCACGGCCAAAGCAAAAAGTTTGTTCGAGATGTTGAAGCAACAAGCAGGAGCCAACTACAACAAAGAGTTTTTTGCAAACTCTGGCTGGTTCAAGCGCTTCAAACATCGCTATCGGCTTCATAACGTGAAAAACAGCGGCGAGTCGATAAGTGCGGATTCTACAGCAGCAGCGGAATTCATCAATACCTTGGACAAGCTCATCGTCAAGGGAGGATATTTGCCCCAGCAAATAATTAATATGGACGAAACCTCCTTGTATTAGAAGAGGATGCCCAAAAGGTCATTCATACACAAGGAGGTCAAGTCAATGCCAGGCTTTACGGCATTCAAGGACCGAGTGACTGTGATTTGGGGAGGTTGCGGATTTAAGTTGAAACCTTTTGTGGTGTGGGCAAAGCAGAACCCCAGGGCTTTTAAAAATATCAACAAACATACGTGCTGTTATGTATTATAGAGCCAACCAGTCATGGATGACCCAAGCATTGTTCCAGGATGCCCTTCAACTGCTATGCTGGTGACCTCGAAAGATACTGCACAGAAGAAAGGATAGAGTTCAAAATTTTCTTGATTTTGGACAATGCTCCAGGTCACCCCTTCATTGGTGACCTCCACCCCAACATCAAAGTGGTTTTCCTGCCGGAATACCACCTCTTTGATTCAGCCTATGGATCAAGGGGCTATTGCAGCTTTCAAGTCCTACTATCTCAGGAGGACCTTTGCAATGGCTAATTCTGCAACGGATGATGGCAAGAAGACACTGAAGGAGTTTTGGAAAAAATACAACATGTACGACTGCATCAAGAACATTGCTTGGGCCTGGGATGATGTATCAAAACAATGTATGAACGCAGTGTGGAAAAAAGTCCTCAAGAGATATGTGCACGATTTCAGAGGTTTTGAGACGGTCACAGAACTTGAGAAAATTACGAACAATCTTGTGAACATGGCAAATGAGCTGAACCTCGGCGTGGATCCGCACTTATATAGAAGAACTGCCAGACGTTGTTCCTGAAGAACTAACCAACGAAGAGTTGTTAGAGTTACAGGAACATCGAACAGCTGAAGAAGAGGCAAGGGAAAAGGAAAGTGAGGAGGAGGTACAGAAGAAGTTCACTATAAAGGGGTTATCTAATTCTTACCTTTAACACTCTGCTGTAGACATGGACCCCAACACTGAACGCTTCTCACTCATAGAGAGGAATACACATGCAGTGTTTGCTGCATATCGGCAAATGTACAAGGAGAAGAAACAGCTGACAAAACAAACAACGTTCGACACTCATAAAAAAAAAAGGTCATCCTCACGACGAACCTGAGCCAGGCCCTTCACACGACGAACCTGAGCCAGGCCCTTCACACGACTTAACCTGAGCCAGGTTCCTTCACACGCTATAGATGATAGCTGCAACTGAGGAACCTTTTTATGGAATTGATAGCAGTGACAGTGATGCTGATGATCCAGGAAAGGCTTAAAAACTGTGTAATGTACAATATATGTAAAGTGTATAATTAAGTGAAATAAAATTAATAAGTTAATAAGGTGTCCGTGAAATAAAAATGCAAGATTAAATAAGTGAAATATAAAATTTTATTTTCAAAGTGAAACATTAGAATTACAAACAAAAAATTTTTCAGAACACAGCGCTATCGCTAACGCCGGACTCGAAAATATGTAATTTGAAGAAAAAAATTTGTAAGACTGCGGTCATATGTCCGGGTGGTCGAATGTCGAGTAGATCGTAAGTCGAGGAGTGCCTGTATAGAACAGTAGCTCTGGTGACAACGGTTCGACCAACAACTTTTCATATTTAAAACCCTAGTTAATTTAGGAGCCAATTCAATTTATGTCCTTATTTCATTCAGATGATTTACGACCAAAATATAATAAAAAATATATAAATTATTTTTCATATAAATAAAACTAAATCCCAAATGTATTATAAAAAAATACTGTAAAAAGAAATAAGAAAGCCTTTACACAAAAAGGTTGCCTGGCTAACGAGTGGTAAACAACAGTCGGAGCTGGCGGCCTTTTGTTTTCACTCATCTGGAACAGGAACAGAAAACTTTCTCAGGTTTACAGCATTTTTCCATCCTTATTCAACATGAGCAAGAGAGCAAGTGATGGTAGTGTTGTTTCAAAAGCTAATAGAAGGTGTATAAGCTTAATGAGAAAACTAGATGTGTTAAAATGATATGAAAAAGGCGAGAGGTCTGTGGATATTATATGGAGCAAGCAATGAACATATTTTCTGAAGTGGATCCATTAACAGAACAAAGAATTAAAATTTAAATAAACACAATTGACCTCTACATAAAGATGTATAATGAGAAAAGAAAGCAGCTGTGCAAGGTTCTTTAGACAGATTTATTATTCAAAGGCCTAAGCCATCAACTTCAGCATCATAAGCAGCTTCAGCAAAAACTTCAGGTTCAGTAACAGCTTTATGGAAATCTACAGCTTCAGCCAGAGTTGACTTCGTCATCTGAGTAAAAACTCGCACAATATTCATCGGCTGTCCTTATGTTTTAAACTTTACTGCCATTGGTGAGAAGAATATTTGTTTTACATTCAGAATATTATTTAAGACATATATGAACAGTAAATAAGGTTTATATTCATATGTTGAGAAATGACGATATGTTTTCACATGTACTCACTTACTGTTCATACATTGGCGTTCCCAATCGCTCCTCCGCTTTACTTACCACTATTGGTTAGCTACTTAGTGTTCCATTTATTAACATTAAATAGCGCTATTTAAAACATACACAGGTATTCAATTTTTTTTATTAAGTTCACTACAGCTACAACCAGGGTCTATTTTCTTCAGTTTCTTTATACTGTACACCATCACACCACGAAACAATGCCATCTGGTCTCCTCGTAGGCTTTTAATATTCTACGTATATGAATTGCATTGTCTATTTCACATATAAAGATTAATTCAATCAAATACATATTCAGTAATAAACAATAATGAATCTTTTGTACATATTCTTAAGATAAATGACGCGGTATCCTTAAATGCGCACGTTCAGTATACAGTATGTTGGGGTTCCCAATCCTTCTCTTTTTTTTTCTTTGCCATTAATGGTTAGCTACTTCGATTGTTGAATATATTAACATTAAATAACGTTACTTAAAAACATATATATTAATTTTTTACAACCAGGGTCTTATTTTCTAATTATCTTGTGTAGAACTATCGTCCCGGACTCCCAGCTGTAAACACAAACGAAAACAATGGCGCCCCATCCCCTCTTGTGTGACCATATTATTATTCATTTATATTGTATAAGGACCATTCAGAAACATTATTTAAAGAATATAGTTTGCACTTTTCATTAATTGTATTGTTTTGGGGAAAAGAGGGTAAAACGCAAACACAAAAAGATATGAAAAGGTCACACTTGGGAACGATTCTATTATTATTAGCTTAATGGGTAATGAACACAAGATGATTCACCTCACACTGCTGGAGGACACCATGATCAGCTTTTACTGTACAGCAAGATAAACAACAGCTAATGTTTTACAATGATACAGGTACTTTGAGTGAAAGTAAAAAATTTTGTTCCTGGAACAAGTTGACCTGACCCTTTGTTCCTGGTACAAGCTTACCTGACGTGAGCTGACCTCTGTGTGGTGAGCTTACCTGGATGTTGTACTCTGATATAAAGAGCGGATCACCTTCACTTAGTATCTTGATAAATATCTTCATGGCATGTTCAAGAAAAGATGGATACTGAGGTGAGGCAACAATAGTCTGTAACAACCAGAGATACAGTGTTATATACTGAGGTGAAGCAACAATAGTGTGTAACAACCAGAGATACAGTGTTATATACTGAGGTGAGGCAACAATAGTCTGTAACAACCAGAGATACAGGTTATATACTGAGAGGCAACAATAGTCTATATAATAGAGACAAGAGTGTTATATACTGAGGAGCAACAATATGTAAAACTAGAGGTATACTCTGAGATGTATATTGATAGAAATATAGTGTACAACCAGAGATACAGTGATATACTGAGGAAGCAACAATGTCTATAAAACCAGAGATACAGTGTTATATACTGAGGTGAGGCAACAATAGTCTGTAACAACCAAGAGATACAGTGTTATATACTGAGGTGAAGCAAAAATAGTGTGTAAATAACCAGAGATACAGTGTTATATACTGAGTATAGAGGCAACAATAGTCTGTAATAACCAGAGATACAGTAGATATACTGAGGTGAGGCAACAATATGTAACAACACAGAGATACAGTGTTATATACTGAGGGATTGAGTAACAACCAGAGATACAGTGTTATATACTGAGGTGAGGCAACAATAGTCTGTAACAACCAGAGACAAGTGTTATATACTGAGGTGAGGCAACAATAGTCTGTAACAACAGAGATACAGTGTTATATACTGAGGAAGCAACAATAGTGTGTAACAACCAGAGCAGTGCAGGTTACTGAGAAGAGCAATATGTAACAACCAGAGATACAGTGTTATATACTGAGGTGAAGCAACAATAGTCTGTAACACATATATACTGAGAAGCAATAGTGTAAATAAACTAAAGATAAGTGTTATATACTGAGGCAACAATAGTTGAAACAACCAGAGATACAGTGTTATATACTGAGGAGAAACAATGTCTGTAAACCAGAGACAGTGTTATATACTGAGGTGAGGCAACAATAGTGTGTAACAACCAGATAAAAGAGATTACAATGTTATATATATACTGAGGTACAAAAGAATTATAACAAACAGAGACAGTGTTATATACTGAGGTGAGGAAATAAATAACAACCAGAGACAGTGTTATATACTGAGGTGAGAACAATAGTCTGTATAAGTGTTATATATGAGGAGAAACAGCAGATACAGTGTTATATACTGAGTGAAATAAGCTTATATGAGTATACTGAGGTGAGGCAACAATAGTAAAAAACAAAGATACAGTGTTATATACTGAGGTGAGGCAACAATAGTCTATAACAACCAGAGATATGCATGTGGGGTTGGTGTGTATATATGAGGTGAAGACAATGTTTATGTACAACAAGAATATAATAATGTATATAATGAGAGAACAATAGTCTATAAAACCAGAGACAGGGTATATGGTGGTAAATAGTTTAGAGATGGTGTTATATACTGAGGTGAAGAAAAGAACCAGAGATAGTTGGTTATATACTGAGGTGAGGCAACAATAGTCTGTAACAAATCAGAGATGTGAAGTATACTGAGGTGAGGCAACAATAGGAAAACCAGAGATACAGTATATACTGAGGTGAGGCAACAATAAAGTGTAATAAATCAGAAGTTATGAGAAAATAGTTGTACAAATCAGAGATACAGTGTTATAATATATATATAGTAACAGAGATATAGTGCATGGTAAAACATAGATAGTTATATACTGAGAAAATAATGAAGCAACAACCAGAGATACAGTGTTATATATACTGAGGTGAGGGCAAAATAATAGTGTAAAAATAAACCAGAGAGTACAGTGTTATATATTAGGTGAATAAATAAATGTAACAAACCAGAGAGACAGGATGCTGGAGTGTGAGTGGGCAAATAAATAGTCTGTACTGAGACAGGTACAATGAGGAAAATAAATTGTAACAACCAGAGATATGATAATGAGGAAAATAGTGTGTAAATAAACCAGAGATACAGTAAGTGTACTGAGAAGCAACAAGTGTGTCTATATAAGTTATACTGAGGTGAGGCAAATAAATAGTGTGTAACAAACTATACAGTGTTATATACTGAGGTGAGGCAAATAGTTGTAACAACTAGGAGATGCGTGTTATATACTGAGGAGCAACAATAGTGTAAAATAAACCAGAGATACAGTGTTACTGAGGGAGGCAACATAGTCTGTAAATACCAGAGATACAGTGTTAGGTGTATATGTATATTGAGGTGAGGCAACAATAGTGTGTAAATAAACCAGAGATACAGAAAGATATATTGAGGTGGATGCACAGTCTGCCAGAGATTAAGGGTGAAGTGGCGTGAGAACAAGGCTAGTTGTAACAACCAGATACAGTGTTATATACTGAGGTGAGGCAAAATTTGGGTTGGTGGGAACAGTGTGTAACAAAACCAGAGATACAGGTTATATACTGAGGGGTGAGGCAACAATAGTGTAAATAACCAGAGACAGTGTTATATACTGAGGTGAGGCAACAATATTGTTGTCATAAAACAACCAGAGATACAGTGTTATACTGAGGTGAGAAGCTGTAAACAACAGAGAAAGTATTGTAATGAGGTATAAATAGAGATAGTGTTATAACAAGAGAAAAAGGTAATAGGGTGAGTAGCAATGTAAATAAACCAGAGATACAGTGTTATATACTGAGGAGGCAACAATAGTCTGTAACAACCAGAGATACAGTGTTATATACTGAGGTGAAGCAACAATAGTGTTAAATAAACCAGAGATACAGTGTTATACTGAGGGGAGGAAAACAGTATAAACCAGAGAGAAAAGTGGTACTTGAAGTACAGTATACAAACCAGAGATAGTGTTATATACTGAGGTGAGAGCAATAGTCTGTAACAACCAGAGATACAGTGTTATATACTGAGGTGAGGCAACAATAGTGTGTAAATAAACAGAGATACAGTGTTATATACTGAGGTGAGGCAACAATAGTCTGTACAAACAGAGATACAGTGTTATATACTGAGGTGAGGCAACAATATTCAAACAACCAGAGATACAAGTTATATACTGAGGTGAGGCAACAATAGTGTGTAACAACCAGACAGTGTTATATACTGAGGTGAGGCAACAATAGTGTGTGAACAACCAGAGAATAGCAGTATACTGAGGTGAGGCAACAATAGTGTAACAACAGAAAGAGTATTGAGGTGAGAACAATAGTGTGTAAATAACCAGAGATACAGTGTTATATACTGAGGTGAGGTCAATAGTGTGTAAATAAACCAGAGATACAGTGTTATATACTGAGGTGAGGCAACAATAGTCTGTAAACAACCAGAGATACAGTGTTATATACTGAAGCAACAATAGTCTGTAACAACCAGAGATAAGTGTTATATACTGAGGTGAGGCAACAATAGTTGTAACAACCAGAGAGATACAGTGTTATATACGAGGTGAGGCAACAATAGTCTGTAACAACCAGAGATACAGTGTTATACTGAGGTGAGGCAACAATAGTCTGTAACAACCAGATACAGTGTAGTATTGAGAGAGGCAACAATAGTGTGTAAATAAACCAGAGCAGTGTTATATATGGGTGAGCAAAAAGTGTAACCAGAACAGGTACTGAGGTGAGGAAACAATAGTGTAAATAAACTAGAGATACAGTGTTATATACTGAGGTGAGGCAACAATAGTCTGTAAATGCAGAGACACAGTGTTATATACTGAGGTGAGGCAACAATAGTCTGTAACAACCAGAGATACAGTGTTATATACTGAGGTGAGGCAACAATAGTCTGTGTGTAAATCTAGATATATATACTGAGGAAGCAATAGTCTTAACAACAGAGATACATGTTATATACTGAGGTGGAAAATAATAGTGTAACAACCAGAGATACAGTGTTATATACTGAGGGAGAGGGCAAATAAGTCTGTACAACAATAATGATAATTGGGGGGCAACAATAATATAACCAGAGATACAGTGTTATATACTGAGTGAAGCAATAGGAAAAATTCAGAGATACAGTATACTGAGGTGAGGCAACAGTCGTAAATACAGAGACATACAGTGTTATATACTGAGGAGAAGGTTAAATGAGGCAACAACCAGAGATAGTGTTATATACTGAGGTGAGCAACAATAGTGTCCAGAGATACAGTGTTATATACTGAGGTGAGGCAACAATAGTCTGTAACAACCAGAGATACAGTGTTATATACTGAGGTGAGGCAAATGTAACAAACCAGAGATACAGTGTTATATACTGAGGTGAGGCAACAATAGTGTGCAAATTAGAGATACAGTAGTATATACTTGAGAGGCAAATAATATGAGATGAAAATACTGAGAAAATGTAACAAACTAGAGATATATATACTGGGTGAAAATAAATAGAGATACAGTGTTATATACTTGAGGAAGTAACAATTGTAACAAAACCAGAGATACAGTGTTATATACTGAGGTGAGGCAAATTAGTCTGTAAATAAATTCAGAGACAGTGATATACTAATGAGAAAAATAGTGTGTAACAACAGAGATACGTTAAGTGTTATGAGGTAAGTGAAATATCAGTAATGTTAACAATACACTGAGGTGAGGCAACAATAGTCTGTAACAACCAGAGATACAGTGTTATATACTGAGGGAAGCAACAATGTCAGACAGAAATATACACTGAGGTGAGGCACAGTTAGTCAACCAAGAGATACAGTACTGAGGTGAGGCAACAATAGTGTGTAATCAGATAAAGAGTATACTGAGGTGAGAGAAAATAATGGTGTAACAACCAGAGATACAGTGTTATATACTGAGGTGAGGCAACAATAGTCTGTAACAACCAGAGATACAGTGTTATATACTGAGAAAAATTGTAACAACAAATATTAGAGGCAACAATAGTCAACAACCAGAGATAGTGTTATATACTGAGGTGAGGCAACAATAGTGTAAATAACCAGAGATACAGTGTTATATACTGAGGTGAAGCAACAATAGTGTGTATACAGTGTGTATACTGAGGCAACAATAATAGTCTGTAACAAACTAGAGATACAGTGTT